GGAGAGACCGGTCCTTGGAGAAGGGCATCATGCTTGGTAGGGTGGAGGGACAGCACTGGAGGGGAAGGCCCTCTATGAGGTGGATTGATTCAGTGACAAACAACATTCTATAGAGAACAATGGCTTATTGCGAAGGATACTGGAAGGAGCTGGAGTTGAAGTTCCGGGAGTGAATGCACAGGTTGTTTTTACTCAGCATTTCTCAAGCTGAAGGAACTGAAGAACAAATTCAAGCCTCGTGTTGCAATCCTTAAAGATGCTATGGGCAGAATATTGAATGATTCAGGCAGCATCAAAAGAAGATGGAATCACTTTACCAAAAAGAATCAATGGTAATAAAGGAGGAACTTCAAGTTGCAATGAAGATACTGGTAAAAAATAATGTCCCAGGAACTGATGGAATAGCAACTGACATATTTCAATAAATAGATGCAGCTCTGAATCTGCTCACCAGGTTATGCTAAGAAATCTGGAGGACAGCCATCTGGCCAATTGTCTAGAAGAGATCCATAATTATTCTTATTCCCAATAAAGGAGATCTGAAAGAATGTGGAAATTGTCAAACATATCATTAGTATGTCACCCAAGCAAAATATTGCTAAAGATCATCCAAAATGGTTAGAACAGTATATTGACAGAGAACTTCCAGAAATACAAACCGGAAATTAGAAGAGGTCATGGAACTAGGGATAAAATTTCCAGTGTCAGATGGATCTTGGCTGAAAGCAGAGAGTACCAGAAGGATATCTGCTTGTGTTTTTTTGACCATACGAAGACATTTGATTTTGTAGATCACAACAAATTATGGCTAACATGGAGAAGAATGAGAATCCCAGAACACTTCACTGTGCTCATGTGAAACCTATGCCTAGACCGGGAAGCTATTGTGGAAGCTACTCCCATACGAAGGAAGGGAAACACTGCATGGTTCAAACTCAAGACAGAAGGTATCAGGGATTATCTTTTCTCCATCTCTTTTCAATCTATATGCAAACAGACCTTTTGGGAGGCTAGACTTTATGAAGAAGAATGTAGTATCAGGATTTGGAGGAACACTCATTCACAACCTGCAGATGACAAAATTTTGTTTGCCAAAACTGAGAAGGACTTTAAGTATTTCCTGCAGAAGGTCAAGGACTGCAGTCTTTAATATGGATTGCATCTCAACATGAAGAAAACAAAGATTCTTACTACCAGGCCAACTAGCAGCATCGTGATAGATAGAGAAGAGGTTGAGGTTGGTTAACAATTTCATCATCTTGCTGAAATCTACAATTAACCTCTTGGCAAAGC